TAGATTAAAATATATAAATCATAATAGATTAAAACATTATTTGATAATTAAGATGTTCATGTAGTTTTATAATAATTTAAAATCATTATTATACATTACTGATACTTAAAATAATCAAAATTATATATTTACTTGTGACAGTTTTTATCAACTACGTTTTCCTATTTGACAACATTTCGAGCAATGCTTGCTAAGAAAGATGAGCTGCAAATGTAATCTGCTGTATGTATTATACTTTTCTAATGTAAAGAAAATTGATGAATTAAAAATTAAAGCTGTAAAAATTTTTAGACGCGATTATTCCGTCAGATTCAACTTTAATGTGCAAATTACGACGGTAAACAATTTCTCTTTGACGGTAAATAATTTCTCAGTGATGTGCTTATATCTACATTGTATAATCATGATTGCTCCTTGACAGCATAATCTTTAAACATTTAATATGTGCTGGTCAGAAATATAAATATCATCGCGAAAAATAAACGAAGAAGCCCCATTCTATCCTGTCTGCATCTATGTTTGTAACACAAAATTAAAAATTAATAATAAAATTAATATTAAAAAAATATTTGCAATTAATAGAATTAGTGTAACTTTATGTTCCATATTACATTTTTCAATATCTATGATTTAAATAATTTATAAATACGTAAATAAAAAATTATTACAAAAAAATATTAATCTCATTCTTTTTTGGAGTAAAATTTCGCTCCTTTGAAATGCTTGTATTTTATGGCATTGCAAACGATACTACGTTAGATTTGAAATACTTCAAAATATTTCATGTACTTATACGATTATGTAATGTATAATAGCCTACACATTTATAATATACTGGGTGTTTAAATAACGATAAAACTCTTGCATAAGGGTAGAGTGGACTAAACTAAGTCGAAATGTCCTCTACCATTTTGCAATTTTTAACAAGATATTAATTAAAAATTGCCGAATATTAGTCTTCAATAATTTTTTTCTCAAATACTGTTAAAAAAACAGCAAGAGATAAAAATTGTTTATTTTTTTCACATAGAACTCTAGGAATTTTTTCAGAATTTTTTATCAACTTTTTAGTTACTGCATTTTCTTATTTTTACCAACTACTGCATTTTGTTATTTTTACCAACATGAAAAAGTACAGTATAATTATTATTTGTTTTCTCATCTTTTAGTCTTTTCTTATCATTTTGTTCCTTAATATAAAAAAATAATTAAACAAAAAATGAAAAAATTAGATTATTATAAAAATTAAGTTTATGACTGCACTTATAAACTTAAAAATATCAATCAGTTCTTACTTCTATTATAATTCCAAATCAAGATCGGAATATTGCGAATTAAATAAGGAAGAACTTCTTATCGTGGCCATTGATAAAAAATGCTAGTAAATTCAGATAACACTCTTTAAAATCTTATGCTCTTTGTTCTGTATGCAGCAATATTAAGCATGCACCCATTATTATAATACTACGACCTACCAAAGATAACAAAACTATGGCGTTTGCTGAGTGCCTCTATACAAATACCTCTGGAGATAACACTACGCGTATTACAATATGACCGATTGCAAGTAAGAAATATCTATAGCGATATCAGTCCGACTTTTGATAAACCATTATCAATCTATATTATTCAATCCTAGAAGAATATTCAAGAAATATTAATAAGTTAAATATTTGCTTTTTAATATTATTGATCAACATTACATCAATACTATTCGACAAATGACTTTTTTATTACTTCTGTTTATCCGGAGCAAGATTGCATCTTCACAAAAATTTCATTATCTACTTTTAAAAACCTTTGAATATAATTTTTTAAAAACCTTTTGAATGTAATTTTTATAGTCCTTGATTTTATTCATTTAATTATAGCACAGGTATAAAACCAGCTAAAAAATCAAATTAAACTTCAGTACTTGATTTCGGAAATAAAGCGTAATTTCGAGTGAGCGGAATCATACGAGAAAAAGTTTTACCAACAGGACATAGATGGATACGCGATGTTTTACGCAAACCCGCACAGCGGTAGTTTTTCTCGGTGCATAGAAAACAATAACTGTGCTACTGATAGCATAGCCGATCAGATCTTTCTAACAAATGTAAATAAAATATTCTTTCGACGTGAAACATGAACCCGTGAAAAAATTTTAATCTTTTTGCATCATATCATCAGTGCTTTTCCATCACTATTATAGCTTCTGCAACTTTCTTCTTTGTATTATATATGGTTTATCATGGCGCATTTCGAAATCCTATCATTTCGTATGATTATCAACATCTACAGTATCATCGTATGTACACAGCATATGAAATTATTGAAATAATAGAAAAATGAATCTTATCATTTATCAAAATTAATAATTATCACTCTTTAATAAAGAAATAATTATTTTTATTTAACAAATATTTTTTTGGAAGACAATCTAATACTTTATGCTTCTATTTTCTGTGTTTTATGTCAAATGTTATCTTATATATAACATATCATTCCTTATTTTCCATGTAGAATAAAATTATGTCGTGTTTTTCATTTAATTGCGTTAATTATTTTCTTAATTCTTATTAAAATTAATTTGACACGAAGTTAACTTAATTTTATCATGTTACTAGCAGCGCCTTTTACAATTATATTCAATATCAACTAAACAAAGACTATAAAGTTAATTTTTTACTATGCATTATTTCATGATTAAAAGAAAGTCTTTATTTAACATAAATATATAAAAAAGACCATCATTTGTAATAAAAATTATTTTTTATACACATAGACATTCTTAAGATATAACACAACATAAAATATTTTAGGATTAATATAAGATTTACATTATTAACCTTAGACGCATTTGCTTCTAAATTTCATATTTCATTTATTATATAACACGCGTTATATATGATGTAATTATTTCAATGTTTAGTCAATAATACTTCAGAAAGCGCAAAAAATACTGTGACCTACGTTTAACAAAAAATCAATATATACATCCCTCCTGTATTTTATTATTTCCTTTCTTCTCTCATAATTTCTGCCACATTATAGTTCCACACGCATCGCTCTGTCGAAGGAAAGTACATTTTGCTTTAAAATATAAATGAATGCAACGTAGCAGTAATTTAAGTGTTTAATATCACGCTGTTCTTCCTCGAATTCATGAGGAACGTTATTTATAACACTTTAGTCGAATGAGAATCGTAATAAAGTACGTTATTTTCTATCTCTAATACACCACGACATTATTATTACTATTATGACAGAAACATTGACGCTAGAAAAGATTATTGCCTTCTTAAAAGTAGATCTGACGTTTGCATGTTGTTGGCCACTTCCGATGAAGGCTACAAAATTTCAAAAAATTCGTAATAAGATATTTCGGTTATTATGTTGCTTAAATAGCATTATAATGGTAATATCGTTAATATATACATTAAATAGGAAATATGATAACATGATTTTTGTGATGAAAGTGGGCTGTGAGCTAACTGCCTTCGTACAAGTTCCAATACAAATTACATTGTACACACTTCAAAGTGACCGTTTGCAAGTAAGAAATGCAATGTGCTTTTGAATTTATAATTTCGATTTTTTTATATCATAGATATTAACAAGATATATAAATCCATATAAATTAAATAATATAAAAATTAAATTTAAATATATAATGTAGAAAATTATAAATTTGTGCAATATAGCTTACACACATAAACAAATTTTTAAATTGTGTTGTGATACAGTTTCCAAGAAAATTAAAAAAATTGTTTTACATAATATTTATTTCAATCTTTTGCGATAAAAATTTTTAATATTATCGGGATTTAAAAAACAATTTAATATCAATTACGTAAATATATAAATGATTTATATATATATATATCTGTATATATAGGGTATTTGGAAAATAATGATAAATCTTTCGAATAGGGATAGAATGGACTAAACTGAGAAGAAAAGTCCTGTACTATTTTGCAATTTTCGTAATAGTTAACGAGATATTAATTACTAAAAATTGCCGAATATTAATCTTCAGTCATTTTTTTTGCTAAAATACTATCAATTTAAAAAAAAAACAGTAAGAGACAAAAATTGTTTATTTTCTTTTTATAGAGCTCTAAAAATTTTTCAGAATTTTTTATCAACTTTTTAGTACTTTATCGTTAGTATATAAGAAAATAAAGTACGTTTCAGTATTTTATTTTTTTATATACTAACAAATATTTTTACTAACATGAGAAAATCCGGTATTAAAGATTCTGAAAAAATTCTCAGAATTTAAAAGAAAATAAATAATTTTTGTTTCTTGCTGTTTTTCAATAAAGTTAATAGTACTTGAGTACAAAATTATTGTTTAAATTATAAACCAATATTTAATTAAATTATAAACCAATATTTAGTGATTTTTAGTAATTAATATCTTGTCATTGCGAAAATTGCAAAATAGTACAGGATTTTTCGACTCAATATAGTCCATCTTGCCATTATGCAAAAGCTTTAACGTTAATTATCAGACACCCGGTATATACATATATACATACACACACACACATATATACAGACATTTACACACATATTATTTATTACGCACACACACTCACGCGCGTGCGCGCGCGCGACTTTTTTAAATTCGTTTTATTTGAGTTCTGAAAAATAAGAAAAGAATACATTTTTTAAATTTTGCACAAATGTAGAGTAATTCAACATACATGTCATAACAATAAATATAAAATAATCTGTTGCCAAGAATTGAGGCATTAAATTATCTGAGATCTCATAAAATTTTAGCCCTTTTTTCAGATCTTCTAATCCATTATTATTTTTTGTTCATACCAAAATTAATATATACCATAATTTAATATCATTTTATGATATTAAAAGTTTCCCGATACAAGAAATAACTAAGAATGGAGTTGTATGACAAAACGTGAATTGCGAAATTCAGGGAATGAAAGTAACTCGTATTTGTATGTGTAACGAAGTTACAAGTTACTTTTTTGATAAATTTACTGGTAACTGCGTTACTTTTTTTGTAACTGTAAAAGTGTTACATTTTTTTAATGATAACAAATTTTACAATTACTTTCATCGTTACTTTGCACACCACTGGACACAGTTCGAGTGAACACAAGCCATTCATAACGCTTCAGACTGGAAAGCCCTTAGACACCCGTCCGCTATCTTGGTCATCAATTTTTAAAAAGTCATCAATTTTAAAAAACGGAAAAGTAATTAAAAGACGACTGCCTAGCTGCCCCCCCCCCTCTCTACTTAACCAAATCTTAAATATATAATAATGCGCTATTTATGCGCTATTCATATTCACAAAACAAAATTTTTGCTCTCATTTTGTTTAGCTAAAAAAAAATTTTTTTTGTGGAGGACTGAATGGGCAATCAGTCAACTTCCTCCCCCCCTTCCCCTCCCACCCTACGATGTTAAAAACAATCGATTTGGAAAGTTAAATATATAGAATTTATGCACTATTTATGCACTATCATATCCACATAGTCTTAATTCTTGCACTGCAACCCTTAAAGCACTTTCCTCTTAGGGCGAACAGCCATACTCGCATCTCAAATCGTTTAAAATTGCAAAATTAAATTCTCTGATTATGCAAAATAATTCTCTGATTTATGCGCTACTAGTTCCAAGCATTTTCGATTTTTGCACTGTAATCCTTAAGGCACTTTCCTCTTAGAGCACACATTAATATTTATAAGTCATGAAAAATTGTGAAAATACATGTTTAACTATGCGAAGTCTATTTTTTATTTATGTACTATGAATTCCAAGTAATTCTTTTTGCGGATGTGGAGAGCGCATAAATAGCGGATTAGTATATAATTAATTAGTATATAATTTTTTTCATTAAGATTTGATTAAATGGGGAGGGCCAGATAGGAAGACGTAATTAAAAGCTATTTCTTCAAGTAACGAGTAACTGTAACTTCTTACTTTTAAAAAATAACTTTTCATTTTTTGGTGAAATTGTACTGGTAGGTCTTTCTGTTTTGTTTGCATCTCAAAGTATTTAGAACTGTAGCATTTTTCCATTTTTTCCAATTTATTAAAAAACTAATTTTATCTTTTTTCAAATTTTATGAAATACAAATAAAAATTTCTTATTAAAACCAATTGATTTCACTCAATTGATTTCATTATCACTTTTATTGTACCATTTATAAACTTTTCTTTACTTACATCTGTGTTTATTTTGTCTTTAAATATAAAAAAATTATTTAACAAAATTAACATGACTTAATGATCACATTTAAAAAGAAATGTACTTTCAAATAACCTTTATAAACTCTTTCATTAATATCGCGAAAGAATATAAAAGCAGCAATATGCACTAATATTTTATACTATAATATATTGTATGTAGAAACAATTAAAATTGAACTATTATATTATATTTGTGCAAAGTTTAATTTGCCAAAAGCTTAAAAAGTTATAATTAAAAATATATTTAGAAAATACTGCCATGTTGACAAATAGATTTAGCTACGTAATAGATTTAGTACGAACAAATAAAAAATCCTATTCTAACTCTGTCATTAATAAGAGATTACATAACATATTTATCTAGATCATAATATACGAAATGGAAGATTATATTCAGCAAGCAAAATCAGAAGAGAGGAATACCTTTCAACGATATATCAACAAATGCAAATTAGTTTATAGTACGACAATGTGTTTCATAACTATGACAGCTATAATAGTGTCGTTCGGACCATTATTCTTAGCTCAACCCTTTCCAATCGAAGTTGAGTATCCATTTGATGTGAATGAACAACCACTGAGAACTATTATTTACTTGCATCATGTGATGATTATATATCAAAGTCGTGCCCAAGTATGTAGCAACGTCTTCGTAGCTCTTTTGCTTTGGTTCACAGCAGCAAGATTCGAGATTCTATCCCATAAATTTCAGAAAATTGCAAGCATTTCAGAATTCACAATCTGTACACAGCTGCATCAACGGCTATTACGGTAATATGTAAATTATATGCAATGGCATATAATAATCTCTTTAAAAATAATAATATACTTGTATATTCAACACAAATAAGCGAAGAAGACTATATATTTATTTGATCAAAGCGAGTCTAGATGTCTAATAATATTTTTTGTGTTTTTTTCAAAGAATTTTACAATTTCTAATTCAAGCTAATTAAGAGCATGTCAGTTTTAAAACACGATTTTAAACTGAAACTTAGAACATTAATTATTGCTTGCTGTCTAGTCTATAAAACTCAATATTATATCGTCCGAGGAAATGTATTGGCCTACGGACAGTAAGAAAATCTCCGATTTAATAAACTTCTGCTTATCAAAGGGAATTGCGGATTCGCTTACTGTTTTTTCAGTTTTGACCTCTCACGCACACACACATGGGATCATTCGCCGATTATAATTATACTCAACAGAAAAATCATGAATATAGATAGATGTAAATTTCATAATCATAAAAACTGACTAAAGTTTTTTTAGATAACTACAGTGTCTTCCTCTCTAAACTTCCTCCTAAACACCAAATTATCTTTGAAGATCGATGATGACATTATAGAAGCTGTAAAACATTTCAATAGCTGCGTACAACAATCAGCTTGGAATTCTAAACCGTTTAACTCGTATTTAAATGACATAATACCTGTACACTCTCAGACAATTAGAGAAATAATAGCAAAAAAACGAAAAGCAAAAAAAACTGAAATTGGATTATGTTGTATCACAAATTAAATTCATACATAAATAATATTACTGATACCAATTATTAGACACCAATATCCGCTTTGACCGAATATGGTTTTTTTCGCTAAATTATATTGAACATTTCTCAACTGATTTCCACTTATAAATATTAACTTTTGTATCCCTTTTTATGACTGATATTTTTAATTGATATTATAGAACCAAAACATCTTTAAACTTGTGTATTCATATTATTTTTTATTAATTAACGCATAATTATAATTAATTCTATAATAGAGTATACAACAGTAAAATTAATAAAAAACTGATAATAATTAACAGCTAATTACAGATATGCAAAAGATGTTACTATAGCAATTCGATACGTAGCGTTGTCATCGATAGGATTCAGTACCATAGGAGTAGTATTTAGCGGTTTGACTTTTTTGAGCGTGAGTCATTTGTATTTCATCTTTCCATTGCATATAGCTGTTCATTGCATTAGTTACATAATTTATGTGTTTACGAAAACATCTTAAATATCCTAATTAAAAATAGTAGAAGCATGTAGGACGATCTCGTTTGCTTGCAAATTAATGGCCTTTAGTATTGTTTGCTGATAGTTCGTTTGCGCATAAAAATTATTGCCTACAGTTCGATTACATGTGCTAATCTCTGCTTTAAAAACACAAATTATGTTTTAAAACACAAAATTTTCTACTTTAATAACATGAATTCTCTGTTTTACAAATACGAATTATTTTTTACTTAATTTTTTACTTACTTTTATATTTGTGTGCAAAAGTAGTTGTGGGCAATCGAGCTGTAGATAATAATTTTTATGCGCAAACGAACTGTCGACAAAAGTAATGTAAGCAAACAATACTGACAATCGATTTGTAGGCAAAAGGAGCCATCTCATTCGTCAAACAACTGCATCTAATATTTATGTAATTAGTATTATGAAAATTAGATAAATAGACACGACTTAGGCATTACATAATTTACTAAAAAATTAAAATTATTTTTTTAATTTAGAATTGTAGACATTATGACCAATTTTTTTCTTTCTCTCTCTATCTCACAAATATAATCTAAATTTTGTATTACTTATATTAAAACATTATATTGCACAGAAACAACCATTAACTGTAAAAACCCAATTTTTTGGCGTTGCCGCATCCGCAATTGTAGAGGTTTTTATCTGCGCATGGCCAGCTGATTATTTATTACGCACAGTAAGGCATAACAATCATATAAAACCACATAAAACATAAGAAAAGGCATAAAAAGGATTTATATTAAAATAAAATATAAATCAAAATTGTAATAAATTAAAGATAAAAATATAAAATATGTATAAATTTTAGAATAAATATATAGATGTATATAATTTCTTTGAATATAATTGATGCGATCTATAATCACATTTTCATCTTGTAAAAAAAATATGCATTATATTAATAATTGTATCTTTAATCTGGGTAAAATTTTCTTATAATATTCTCTTTTTTTTTTTTAATATTTCAGAGTAATGACATTGGTTATGCTGGATATGAATCGTCGTGGTACAGTAAAGATATATCTTTACAGAAGAATTTGTTATATACTGTATCGAGATGTCAACATCCTGTAACTCTAACTGTGCCATGTCTGCTACCAACTCTTTCACTTAATTATTATGCCTCTGTAAGTCTATCTTAAATTAGAATAGTCACAAGAGTTATTCTCAGTGGTTTAATTTTCAATAATCTTGGATGTAATAATTCATGAAGAAAAGTGTTAAAGATATCGATTTTCGCTCCCAAGTGTTAAATAGATTAAAATAGTCGGTGATCTTTATTTGCACAATTTTAGCTAGAATAATGGTTTTGCAATTATTAACGTACATACATGGTTATGTCATTTCTTATTATTTTAAAATCATTCTAGCAATGTTTTCATCCTTTGTCGGAAAAATTACTATTATTTTCTGTCGTTTACAATTTCAAATAATAATTTTTCAAGGTTTATTTATTTTACACTTGGCGGCAAAAATCAACAATATTTAACACCCTTCTTTATTATTTTTTTTTCAACATAATAATTTATCATGTTTATATATAAGCTTAAAGTAAACAATGATAGATTAAAACATTATTTGACAAATAAGATGTTCGTGTGAGTTTATAATAATTTACAATCATTATTAAACATTACTAATAACTTAAAATAATAAAAATTATATATTTACATTTAACAGTTTTTATCAACTACGTTTTCCTATTTGACAACATTTCGAGCAATGCTTGGTAAAAAAGATGGACTGCAAATGTAATCTACTGTATGTATTATATTTTTCTAAGAATTCTATTGTATATATTATACAATACATTTATGAAGAAAATTGATAAACTAAAGTTGCAAATATTTTAAATCATAGGGTAGAGCGAAATAATTTCGTCAATTTCAACTTTAAAGTAATGTACAAATTTACAATGGTAAAATCTCTCTTTGTTGATACAGTCCTCGTAAAAATTTACCACGAACACTTCTCCGCTTCTAGTATCTCTAAGAATTTCTTAAAATTATTTTAAAATAATAATCACAAAAATTTTTCACAAAAAACAATAATTTGCAATGTTTTTCGTTAAAAATCCTGCAACCTGCATTACACATGGGGATTCAATATGGAAACATTGACAAAATTTACATTTAATTAAATTGCAACAAAAATATAGTTACAACATTAAAAAATAGCTCTTTAAGATTTAATTTAGTATATAAATTTGTAATTTATAAACTTTAAAACAAATAAAACTTAAACAAATAAAAATCATACGATAGAATGCTTCACACTTTCAATATCCACCTAAGAACAAATTAATAATCTTTCACAAGAGAACATGCCCATCGGCATGAAATCTATAATTCAAATAAGATAACTATAACTACATATGTATTCATCATTAAATTCCGGATCATTTATACATATATAATTGATTCTCTCCATTAAAGATTCTAAATAAGTTAATATATCAAATTGTTGTGTTAAATTATTTAAATATTTTATAGTAAAAAATAACATTTATTTCTATTTCATATATTTATATAGAATATTTTATTTATAAACATTTTTAATTATATTATTAATTATATTAATTATATATTAACTATATTATTCTAAAATTTTTATTTAGAAAAGGGTTTCGTTTACCCATAAAATAATTGCTTACAACTTCGTATATACACGTATTGCACATAACGCATTGTATACATGACGTATGGCATATTGTACACAGCACATTGCAAACACGATTACATATACCTATGTGACCGTGTAAAGCACACACGTTCATGCTGCTTACGTACACATTGTAAAAGTTCTCTTCATGTGGGAAATTGTACCCATATCAAATCATAGAATGGTTTTGCACTGGACAATGTGATAAATCTCAAATCTAACCCATATAGAACCGCACTTCGGACAAAAAGTTGAAAATTCTGCATATAAAATACTGTACAATTATAAACGTTCTTTATTATAATATGCATGTTATACAAAATAATAATGTGCATAATTCGATCATGTGCGCGACACAGTCATGTGTGCAACACGGTTATGTGCATTCGAAACTGCAGTAAGGAATCGTTTTGTTAACGGAATCTCGCCGGTTCATTGTCCGACCTTTTTTCATCGGATTTTCTTGGAAATTTTTCCGAATACTAACTCATATAATAATTTTAAATTCCAACGTGGAGTTAAAGAAACGCAGTATTATCCTCATGATGGATTTATTGTACCCACCTATAGCCTATATTGCACTATCCATCTATTTTCTTAATATGAAACATCAAATCTTCCCTTTTTTCAAAATTATATACAAAGGTCTTGCGAGCGTGAAATCCTTATTTTCAATACAGGGTATCATTTCAGTGAAACACATGTTACTTTCTGAACACTTACTTCCTATCGCAGACAGGATATACACCTATAAAATTACTATGTAGAGTACAATGAAGAACGCTACTGCGCGTTGAAAGTCTATAAGTTAAAACTGTTTTATTAAAATTTGTGTATAGCAATATAAAACTACATTATGTAGAATAATAAACAGATTAAGTAACGTATAGAATTATCAGTAAAATATGTGAATAGATAGTATATGTGTTGTATATCCGGAAAATCTCTTTTTAATCAACCTCTTACCTACTGATATTTAGAATGTCTAAACATCCTAAGTACGTAACATTTTTTAGAAATTATACAGAAATCTACTATGCATACATATATTTTTTAAAGCTTTTATAGGTAGTGTTACTCACTCCTTATTCAAACACGCAAAGCTATCCGTTTTTCACATACATCATATTATCATGTCATAATAATTTCATTTACGTATACCCCACGCGAAACGGAAAAACGCAAGAATACATGTTCTCCTACAGTAACTCCCCTTTACAGTAACACCCTTTCATCATATTATTGCAAACACATGGAACATATCCATTACGCAACGGCTCGTAAAAGAGTTTTCATTTCCCATAATATCAACTTGCAATACATTTATAACATACGTAGCATACTTCAGTCATGCGAAGAAAAGTGATGCTAAAAGAAGTAATCTCCGCCGTAAAGTTAAGTGTGTTGCCAATTTGTTGTTGGCCTTTGCCACAAGATGCGACAAAATTTAAAATGTTTTGTATGACATTGCATCATTGTTTGAGCATAATTGTAACAACAGCTCTGAAATTACCGTTGATATACGGTATCACAAATCATCTTGATGATCCTCCTGTGTTAGTAAATCAAATTGTTCTATTAAGTGGCACATTTCACGCGAACTTTAACTTTATTTTTCATATAACATATTATCATCATATACAGGTAATTAATATTTAACGTCAAAAAATTTACATGCAAATTAATTAAAGATTCACATTTTACTACTACATTCTATATGTATCAATTATTTCAAGTAATTATTTGCAGATTGCTACTTCTGAAATAGTAAATTTTTGCAACGTGATGAAACCTCATGAAGAAGTTGTAATTCAACGATACATTGATAAATGTATTGCATTTTATGGTATATTTTTGGTTGCTTTCTATTGGATTACATTCGTAGTTATCGCAATATTACCTCCTTTAATGCATCAGCCATTTCCAACATTGGCCGAATATCCATTTGATGTATCTTATCAACCGGTAAAAACAATAATTTATATACAACAATCTATGGCCGGAATAATGATATCGGGACAACTATGTATAAATGTTCATATGGCAATGTTGCTTTGGTTTACATCCGCAAGATTTGAAATACTGACTAAAGAATTAGAAAAAACTGCAAATGTCTATCAGTTGTTTGAATGTATTAAAAAACATCAAAAGTTACTGATGTAAATATAAACATTATCTTAGTAAAGAATAATCTAGTTAGAAAGATTTAAATAATCATATCGTATGCATTTATTCAGTTATGCAAAAGAAGTTACAAATGCTGCTCGTCCTTTCGCATTTACAACTATATATTGTAGCACGATTTCCTTAATAGGAGTCTTTCTTTTGCTCATTAGTGTAAGTATATGTAATATTATAAAAATATATTATACTTGAATATATTTTCTTCTAAATTTGTACATAAATCAGGAGTCACGGTAGTGTCTCAGCGCTAAGACAAGCGCAGCAACACTACCGTGTTCCTTTACACGAAACTGCTAATTGCGGGGGAGGTATATCATGATCATCAGATATACGCAATTTTATCGTATCCTTCCATCGTACCCTCCATCATAATATTTTTATATACTTTTGCAAAAAGAAGGCATTGCAATTACCTCAAAAATTTAGTGTATAAGAACATTAACATGAAATATTGTGTCAATCAATTGTTTTAAACAGCATCAACCTATAGCAGTAATATTCCAGTTTTTCGTATTGGGTATAATAAGTATAGCAGAAGTATTTATGTATACTTGGCCAGCAGAACATTTGATGTATACGGTAAATAACTTTATTACATTTTGTTATAATATAATTAACTTTATTTTAAAATATGTTTATTATGTAACCAGAGTAAAGACGTCGTACAAACAGCATTTTATATACTCAAAAACAATCATTTAATTAAAGTATGGAAATGTTTGCAAATTATTATAATGAGAAGTAAAAAACCAATAACAATTTCAATACCTTGCTTTCTGCCCGAATTATCTCTCAGTTACTTTACATCGGTAAGATCAAATTCTAAGTTAATTTAAAAAATTGATTAAGTTTGATAACATATTATTTATATTAATTATTTGACATTATTACATAATTTTCTCCCTCTCTCTCACTCTTTCTTTATGTATATATAAATATATATAAAAAAAAATAGGTATGACTATACTGAATCGAAAACTCTTCTACCATTTTGCAATTTTCGTAATAGGTAACAAGATATTAATTTCTAAATCCGCACAAAAAGACCAAACATCGCTGCTGGAACGGCAATTTCTCACCTTACTGCATGTCCACGCTTATTCGCCACTCTTCAAAAAATAATATCTTGTTACCATTACGAAAATTACGAAATGATAGAGAACTTTTCGATTCAATTTAATTCATTCTATCTGATCACGAGAGATAATGCGATTATTATCAATCTGTATATGTATATATATTAAATATACATATATACATAAATGTATATTTGTATTAAATGTATATATTTATATTTATATAAAATTATA